TACCAAACTACCCTATATCTAGCAAATACTAGAGCATTCGCCCAGATACGGGATAGTTCTAGAAACGTGGCGTCACTGTAGTCATGTGATCTCGATGACGCAACAATACGTTTAATTGACTTATCCGTTGTGGTTTAAACGTTGAAAGTCGTCGTATTCCTACAAATAGAGTTATGTGTAAAGATTACATAAAACACACCGCTCCCACACGCATAATACTTAAGAAAAACGAAAACAAATTCAAATATATATATATGCTTATGTGTGTGCGTGTTTTGCTAAAAATTATAATTAGCTATAAAACGTTAAAAGGCTTACTGTAATATTATGATATATGAAAATTACGCTACCTCCAGAAACAAACGAGAGAAACATAAATTTTTACTAGCATACCGAATACAGTTACATATATAACTACATTATTATAAAAATCGTCTGAAACATATTTGTGTTGAGAGTAAAAAACTCTAATTAACAGCAATAATCTATCTGTATAGTGGTTAACAGACAGACAAAATTTCGAGAGCTAGAAAGCTTATTTTATTGTATCACCACCAGATGTCAGGCTTGTAATAAGTACAGTAACAAGAAAGAATGTATGTGTTTTTTTTGTACTGAAAAGTGAAAGAGGAAACGAAGTAAGCTTTCAATCGGTTCTCAATGGATTGGATTGTACTGATGCAACATCACTTTTAGTAAGTACGTAGGTATATAAAGTACTAATTATTTTATTTTCAGAATTTGAATAACGTTAAGTGTGTGCGTATGGTTATCAAATAGCACTAGCAGATTACCATTGTTCCAAGGTTGTCGCGCGGTTTACTATCCCCCTCCAGTTGTAACTTGTAATCGTTGTGAGCTGTATCTTGTGTATGTCGTAAGCTTGATTTTTTAAACTACTTTGTTAGACTTAGTATTACTACTACTAGCAGTAGTACGTTACGTGTGTATAAGGCCTAGACTCTATTAACGACTATAGTTTTGCCACTAATCATGAAATAAACTAAGGCTAAGGTAATTGTATTATTAATATGTATTGATAATGATTAGTAATTTAGTAAATTAGGCGAATCGCTATGGAGCAAGTGTTTTGTAATTTTATTCTTAATCCAATGCCACATGGTCAATAAAACATTAATGTGAGAGTTTTGCTGTTAATGTTACTGTCAGTTAAGAATGGTTGTATGATATTAACTATTGTAAAATAATTAATATTTTGTTATAGTGTAAGGTTAATTTTGAAACAAAAACAATAAAGTGCATGATTTACTAAACCAGACAAAATTTTTTAGCTATCCAGATATTACTAAATTAAGTTAATACTTTGATCTCAGACATTTTTTGTCTGCTTTTGTTTTGTTTTTATTTAGAACCGAGACATATATAGGACCAACTATGAATTTTTCGTCACATTATGGGTTCAAAGTATCTCCTGTATCAAGGTGGTTCCACATTTTCCCACATGTAGACATCAGTTTTCAACAAGTAAATGCCACATTTGACATTACTGATAATTCATATCTTGAGGTACGTAATGTTTATAATAAGGGTCTAAACTAGACTAAAGTAATCGTTATTGAAGTTTACGAGTAGTTTTATTTTAAAACTTTTCTACTGAAATGACTGTCTTTACTTCTACAAATATTGCTGTAAACAATCATTATCCACTACTGAAGGTGTTTAGAGCGGATTCAATAGTATATGTGTATACTAACTTGAAAAGTAAATACTTATATTAATATTAAGCTCTACATATAAAAGTTTTGTATTTTACTTGTAGCAGTATAACTGTTACTTTATTACACTAAGAACATACTTTAAATTCTGTTTCATTGTTTTAAAGTACAATTTACCTGTTATGAGATAACTAGTTTTAAGTTACTACAACAGATTTTGTGATACATTAAAGTGTTTGTCGTTTTTTTTTGTACAGTTACGTTTCTATACAGAAACTAGCCGTTCACGTCGTTACAAATATATGTACACCTAGCAATGTGTAACTTATAAAAACCAGTCCACTTGTAATGAAGATGGTTGGTTTCATCATGACATGAGAAATATAAGCTGTTTCATGAAACTGTTCATTATAGAATGGCCTAACAGGATTTGGTTTGCATAGTTACATGTTTCTAAAGGATGTATATATACACGTAGGCATGCAGATTATACAGAATATGTATATTTGGCTGTTTTTTTTATTTATTTATTTGGCTTTATGTTGAAGTTGAACAAATACTAAAATATTTTTCATTCATGAGGTACCAGAATTCATTGTCTGCATCACAAGGATTATTAATATTTATCAACTTAACAGTTGGAAGCTTTGGTTGTTGTAATATTTAAAAAAGGTTTACCCTATGGCTTCAGTAGTGTAGGTGGTGATTTATTTATATTTAATAGCAGGTTGAAAACACAATTTAAAATGTGAATATATATATATGATTATCTTGCCAAATAATTAATAAAAGTCCTAATAAATTGCTAACAACCTTCACAATTTTAGCTGCCCGCAATGGTCCTTCTTCTTCTTCATTGTTATCTTCAGTAGATTTAGCACTTGTGAAAATACAAAAACAAAATATTTAAACACCAACCTGAATTTGAATTTTAAAATTTACTGCATGGGAATATGAAATTTTTGACATTTGAATAACATCAAAAATTTTATCAGGACTACTCTGTATTGGAATTCGTAGCATACAGTTTAAAGACAACATGGGTCCTATCGGTCCATAAAAGCCGATACATCCGTTAAACTAAATTTAAAAAAATTACTTAAAGCTAGCCCTTACATTTGAAATAGCTATAAAGCTTTCCCTTGAATTTACTGCATCCATTACATCTGAAGATAACCCATTCCACTGGCCAACCAGCCTGTCAGAAAAGTAAATCTGCTGATGATATATATGTCCCCTTGTCCTACCATTCTTACCTCTCAACATGAAAAAGAAAAGATGATGCATCAACACTATCAACTCTCTTTACAATCTTAAACACTTAATTGGATTCCATCTAATTTTTTTTCAAGAAAAAACAATTTCAGAAATCTTAAACCTGTCTTTGTATGACAACTTTTCCATCCAAGAAATCATCTTTGTATCCTTCCTTTGAACCCTTTCCAAAAAATTCAGTGACATTCTTAACTGAGTGTGCACATGGTTGGTCCATTAGACCAACCCCATATTTCAAATGGAATATTGACTATAATTCTGAATTTACTAAGTGTATCTACATGAAACGTCACAAGCTTTGAGTCAAATGTAAAAGTGTTTTGAACAGAAAAAATATAATGTGCTACAAATGTATTTGTGCTTAAGATATGTCTGTGGATTACCAAATTCAGTCTGACTCTGACAAGTTGCAGTGCAAGGTGATATTCAAGTGAAGAATATAAATACTTTTGTCCATTATACAGTTTGCATATTGCATTTGTATAACCTCTATAACTTCCAAAATGCATATCTACAGTTTAGTAATGGTTGGAGACGGCTTGAATGGGTAATGAAGAAAAAACTTTAATATAAGTTTAACATAACTGCAAATGTACAACATTTCCACAAGGTTTTGTCATCATCAGGTACCCCTTGTCGAAACGTTGTACATTTGCTGTTATGTTAAACTAATATTAAAGTTTTCCTTCATTACCAATTCAAACAGTCTCCAACCATTGTTAGTCTCAAAGTGTGTTCCTCGTCATCGAATATCTACAGTTTTTTCAGTATCCTTGTACACTGTATCTGGTATTTACTTTCCTCTACCATGAACTATAGTATATCTCAGTATCCCTGTACACTGTATCTGGTATTTACTCTCCTCTACCATGAACTATAGTGTATGTCAGTATCCCTGTACACTGTATCTGATATTTACTCTCTCTACCATGAACTGTAGTGTATGTCAGTATCCCTGTACACTGTATCTGGTATTTACTCTCCTCTACCATGAACTATAGTGTATGTCAGTATCCCTCTACACTATCTGGTATTTACTCTCCTCTACCATGAACTATAGCGTATCTCAGTGCCCCTGTACACTGTATCTGGTATTTACTCTCCTTTACCATGAACTCTAGTGTATGTCAGTATCCCTGTACACTGTATCTGGTATTTACTCTCCTCTACCATGAACTATCACTTAAAATCGGTAATGTAGGGTAAATGAATAGTTGATAACTGACATCAAATACATAATACCATGTTGAATGGCACTATGTAAAGGGTTGTGGCATGCACATATTGACCCCTACCAATGTACATAGGGTTAAGGTAAGAAACCCAAGACTTAATACTTCATATGAGGCCTGACCAGTGACCTATAGAATGAAATTATAACTTACTTAGACTTTTTTTCATTTCTGTAAATGCAACCTAAAATCCTATTTGCGGGGCCACTAGAAGCAACATTTTGCTTGGATAGCTTAAGAGACTAATCAACCAAACTACCAAGATCTTTTTCTTTCACAATACTGTTAACTTTATTCCGATCAAAATTACATTTATAATTGAAATTATGGTAACCCCTTGTTTCACCTTGTATTTATTTTTTTAATATAAAGCCATCTTTCATTTATTCACCCAACTCACCAAATAATCAAAATACTTTTATAAAATAGCAACAGCATCCTCACAATTACACCTTAATATCATCAACAGATTTAAGCAGTTTATTGACCATTCCTTCACCTATGTTATCGATTTAAATCAAAAAGAGCAAAGGTCCTAACACTTAGCCCTGAGGTATCCCACATTGGACAGTAATCAAGTTTGACTGAATTTATTTATAACAACCTGCTGGATTCTTCTATTCAAACATTTTTCAAGTTAAATCACTTCCCCACAGCTACAGAGAATTTGTTTAACAAGGAAGATTTTTCTCTAGTGAAACCATGATTTATTTGCATCACCTGCTTGCCTTTTCCATTCTTCACTGGACTGAATAGTTTTATTGGATTCCTTTCTTAATTGATACATCCATTAAACTAAATTTTGTTATTGTGGCTAATTTGGTCCAACTAGTAACACGGTCTTCAGTAACTAAGGAACTTCTGTGTTCTCCCAGTCAGTGGCCGAGTCTCAATAGTTTGCAGTATAGTGGCTGCTCTACTAAATACAGCTTAGGTCATCTGTGGATGATTTGGTGTCAATACTGTTGGCCTACTTATTTTACCGATGTTTCATGCAGATTAAGTTGCTCTAGTATTACAATTTTTGGTCACTGCTTTATCAATGACTGATGCAGAATGAGGTAACACGTACACTACATTTAAATTAACAAAATTTTTAAAAAGGTCAGGCCATGGCCTCTTTTTATTTAGCTATGTTTGATTACTTTTTAATTTGTCTTATTTCACTACCAAATGTTATTATATTGCCTTTCAAGTTAAGCTGTATTCATTTATTTTAGTTAACCAGCTTTTGAAAATTATCATTTAGAGTTTATGAGAAATGATTTTTTGGTATTACATTCACTAACTTTATTTTTCTACCACTGATCAGTTTCAGTGTGCTCCTTGTTATATTTGGATTTCTAATGCCCTATTTACTTGTGTAGCTGTGGATTCACCCTGTCATTAGCACTTAGAAAACTCTACTAATGAAAAACACCATAAAAATGCATATAACATGCAAAAGACCTTATCAGCACTGGATATGGTAGATTTAGTGTGATTCACGTATTGTAACGTATTCTTTGTTTACACTTGTAAAGCTCTTAGAATACAGTTTACCTCTACAAAAAGCCTAGTTTAGTTTCTTCAATTTGCTCTTTTCAAGTGTTGCTCTTGAGGGGTGGAGTTTCCCAAATTTAGTATAACCCTGTAACAGATGATAAATAGTGATATATTGGGTTTCATATTCATTTTTATACTATTTCTTTGTGAAATTTTTGTTTTACGTATTTATCTGGAACCATTAAAGATGTAGTACACCAAACAGCTTAACTAAACCATACTGATAAAGAAAGTTACAAGCCTACTTTATACTTACCCTGTGTCACATTCTTATGCAACACAGTCAACATTTGCTCAGAACTGATAAACATGTTAAATCCTGCCCTGCATTTCACTAGTTCATAACGTTTGAACAGTTACTTTTATCAAAAAATAAGTGTGGATCTAGATCTAGACCTCATCTTCAAATATTCAAGCTTTGCATTTCCAATCATTTCATTATTAAAACAGATTATTCATAGACAGCTTGTTCAAGTTTTTAACACCTAATAAAAGTCACCACTAGATGTATGCATTACAGGTAATGAGACCCAATATTTTGGCCTCTCTTCATAATTCAGATTTTTTTAAATTGGATATTATTTTATTGGATGTACTCTTTCGTCACTATCATGTTAATATTTTTTTTCTAAAAAGGGGACAAAAATTATGCACATTCACCATAATGAACCCTTATCAGCATCTAGTGTTATCACAGAAAAACTAACTCATTTACCACGTTGTTTTATTGTAAGTGCATTGTGTTACCTTACTTGGGACTGAAACTCATTGACCATGTTACTTTACTCAGTACTGAGAC